GCCTTTGGCGATGCGATGTTCGAGGTTCTCGAGTACGCGGTGCCGACCGTCTGTGAGCCCCAGCCCAAGGATGACGACGACGATGGGGAGGCAGACGTCGCGAAAGAGATTGCTACTGACGTGGACTACGTGAATATTGCAGAAGACTTCTGATTGTAAGAAGAGGTGGAGGAGGAGGAGGAGGAGGAGGAGGAAGAGGAGGAGGAAGAGGTGGATATTGAGGACGAGTTCCTACTCCTCCTCCTCCTCCTGCTCCTCATCCTCCTCCTCCTCCTCCTCCTCCTCCTCCTCCTCCTTTTCCACCTCTTCCTCCTCCTCCTCCTCCTCCGGACCGCGACGTGCGCTGGATATTGCAGAAGACTTCTGATTGTAAGCGCCTGGTGCAGCTGACCACTCCGATGGCCGACTCTTCCATCTTCAAAGACGCGTTGTCCGCGAGCCCTGCCAAGCGTCTGCTGACGACGGTGGCGAACCCGAAGGCAAAAGGCAAGGCTAAGCCGAAGGGGTCTGCTAAGGCCGCCGTCACGCCAGATGCCGTGGCACATTGCACGCAGGCGGGATCAACAGTCCGCTCGACCATGTTCCTGGATGACGTGATGAACGCTGTTGTCCACCCAGTGCGGAAAATTGACCGTTCAGATTGGAATACTGGTGAACTCCGCCGGATGGTGAGGTTCGGAGTTCGCTTGGGGATGAAGCTCCAGTCGGAGAAGGGGAAGGTTGTGTTCCAGTTCGGCGACAGAGACTCTGAGGAGGAACACTTCGCACTGTGGAAGATGTTGCGCCCTCGCATCATGGATCACATTTACGACGTGCACGGCGAGCTCGTGGAGAAGCCCAAACCCGAGGGTGATGATAAAAACGACGGTGCAAAAGATGGTGTGGCGTCGACGCATCAAGATGATGTTGATATGGCTTCATGTTTGGCCTCGCTCAACATGGCAATCGGCAGCGACGGCAAGAGTCGGACGAGGACTAAGAAGCTGGTCGCCGACTTCCTCACCGACAACCCTCCCTTGCAGAACCTGACATACCTCGAGCAGACGCACGTTGTCGTGACCAGGATCAGCTCGACTCTCTTGCGCTCGAAGGGCAGGGTGTACCCAGGAGACGATCTGCAGGCAACATGTCGAACTATTGTCTCGGATGCTTTCAAAGTTCTGGATATGCATACGCCGTCTTGCTTGTATCGGATTTCTGGTTACATTCTGACGTTGCTCGATCAGATAAGTGATGACAAGGACTGGGCGTCATCAAACATGGTGCCTCTAAGCTCAAACACCTTTCGAAAGCGTTGGGTCCTGGGGTGCTTTCGTTTCTGCCCCCCTGGTCGGTTGTCTTGTGTTTTGGGGTCGGCCGTCGTGTTCGATTTCGCCCTCCGAGGACAAAAATGCATGGGTCGATGAGAAGCGCAAAATTGACAAGGAGAGTACATACCATGCTGACCATCCGGCTCCAGTCGGTCGACGCCTCCTTGGCCCAATGGGTGGCTGAGCTCTGGCCTGACCAATCCGACGTCGTGGCTACCCACCGCACGGGGTTCCTCTACATTCAGAAGGCATTGAAGCTGATTGCAGAGAACGCGCAGTTCGGCAGCGAGCCCATCAAGCAGTACATCATCAATGGGATCGAGTTCGGGGCCGCCGTGGAGGCCGACATTTTCGGGTACGATAGCGTAGAGAACGGGAACCCCTCCAGCGAGGCATTGTGGCTCAGGGTGTTCGAGATTGCCGAAATCTTGAAGGGCCGAGTGGTGAAGAAGCCCGTCGTTGCAATGTTGCGGACCGCGGTGGCGTTTCAATCCCAAGGGGGGGGAGGGAGCGGAGGAGGAGTATTAGAAGGAGGGGGAGGAGCCCGGGGAGGAGAGAAGATGATGATGCGGAGGAGGGAGAGGAGGGAGCAGGAATATGGAGGGGGACGACAAGGATGATTGGAGGTCGAGAGGCAGTGATTTCGCCACCGCCCAAAGGAGCCGCGAAGCGCAGGTCAAGTCCAAGATCGAGTGCATGAAGAAGGCCGACATCGTGAAGGCACTGCAGGTTGAGTTCCCTGGCGCAGTGCCCGAAGGTGTTGATACCTTGGTCAAGTCAATGGTTATGCAGTTATTGCTTCAGGAGCGGCTCAGACGGATGGATGCCCAAGAGCTTGCGGCGCTGCAAACATGGAAGAGCTTACTCTGCTTGGGTTTCGAGGAAGGCGCCGACGCGCTTCGGAGGAAAGCCTCTGCCGTGGCCCTGCCAGATGCTTAGCCCAGCCCCCGCGGTGACAATGCTGACAATGCTGGCGCCGAGACGGCCGAGACGACGTCCGCGCAGCCTCAGAACACAGTGGTTGTGGCCTTGGAACAGTGCACTCAGGTAGAGATCAACTGCAAGGAATACTTCATCCTCTTCAAGGGTATGGGGGCTTGTGACATGTCGCGCCGCCTGTGGAAGTGCGACGAGGCGAGCCGCTACCTGACGCATGCCATCATGGAGGAGTGGCTGTTCGGTTGCGGGCCTGCCATTGCCAAACCAGTGGGCGGCTCCAACGGCGGTGACGACGATGCCGCCGCGATGCCGCCGACGCCGAAGAAGCCCAAGACGAGGGTCGCAGGGAAGACCGAGCCTGCGGTGATTGCAGCGAGGGATGAGGACGCCGCGGCGGAGATCGCGGCTGAGAAGGTGGAAGTGGAGGTGGTCGTCGAGGACGAGAACGACGAGAACGACGAGAAGGAGCAGCCCGCGAAGCCGATCTCTCTCCTCGATGTGGGCCTTGACTTCCTGGTGTGCCCGTCCTCCCAGATGTCAGCTGGCAGGCCAGGTGGCGGAGTGAAAGCTCTACTTCGACAGGGCGCGTGATGCATGCGGGTCCATGGAGGAGAAGCTCAAGCTTCGCAGGCAGGGTGGTGATATACCCTGGCGCCTTCGTTGGAGATGGAGCGCGCGTCGCAGCAGGCCGCGTGCACACTGAGCAGCAGGAGCTCAACATCCTCATCGTGCCGAACGTGAACTGCAAGGACCCCCGCGGCACCATCAGCGTCCCTGCCTGGAGCGTGCCAGTCGTGGCGGACAGGGCGCATGAGGAGAACAACATGACCATGAAGGTGGGCCTGGGCCCTCCCTCCCTCCCTCCCTCCGTCCCTCCCTCTTCCACTCTTCCTCCCTCCCCCCTCCATCCCTCCCTCCTCCCTCCCTCCCTCCCTCCTCCCTCCTCCTCTCCTCCCTCCTCCTCCCTCCTGCCTCCTCCCTCCTCCCTCTTCAGGCCTGTACACGCAGGTGATCAAGGACGTGCCTGGGGTGGACGGCGGCGCCGTGATGCTGGACCGCAGCTTCTTGATGATGAGGCCGAGGGGGGAGCTCTTGGCGATTCGGCAGCGGAAGAGCGAGGGGGTCCCGGCGGCGGCTGCGGGCACCGACGGGGAGTTCGCCCCGCTCGAGCTGGAGCCCCTGACCAGGCCTGGAACATATCCCTATCCCTATGCTGGGCATCTCCTCATCACGATGCCGATCTTAGGGATTTCCTTATTTTTTGGTGGCGAATCCCTAAGATTGTCGTCGCCTTTTGGCGTGTCGATCTTAGGGATAGGGATAAGTTCGAGGCTGGTAAGATCACGCGCACGGCCAAAGTTCCAGTGGGAGTTCAAGGCCGCGGTCCAGGAGGACGGGAAGGCCCGCAAGGCGCTGGGCAAGGTGGGCCGACCAATGTCAAATGCAACGGGAGAGAGTATCGTGGAAGGACGAGGGGAGGGAGGGAGGGGGGGAGGAGAAGGAGGAGGGTGAGAAGAAAGATGAGGGATGAGTGGAAAGAGGAGGAGGAGGAGGAGGTGGAGGAGGGAGGGGAGGGAGGAGACACCAGGATGGAGAGAGAAGGAAGAGGGGATGGAAGCCCTCCGTTCATCCTCCTCCCCTCCATCCACTCTATGCCTCCAGCCCTCCGCCCATCCTCCTCCTTCATCCACTCGATGCCTCCGTCGTCCCTTCCCCTCCTTCTTCAGCCCTCCACCTCGCCACGTCCTTTCCCATCCTCCCTGGTTCTATCCTGCATCTCTCCCCGCTCTTCTTTCCTGCCTCCAGCCTCCCTCCCTCCCTCCGCCTCCTGGGGGAACCGAAAAACAGATGACGATGCCGCAACTCCGCGGACCTTTCCAGGGGTGCGTTCTGATGAGATTTCGAAGCGAATCTAGCCGAAGCCACGAGGGACAAGTAGCGGCATCGGTATCTGTTCCTCTTCTGATCGATGATCCTCAGAACGTGCGTTAGCACCGACGTGTGTTTGTCCACCGAGGCACTTCAACACGATGCGGGCGGTTAAATATCGGCGGAGCCGAACGGGGTAGACACACGTTTGGGCTAACACACGCCCTGAGGATCATCGACCTGGCCTCCGCACCTTCCCCGCCACAGCCCCATAGGCCATGAGGCACATCCTCGCGTGAGGGCTGCGCGGACGCCTCCTGGGGGCCTGCCTGGCGGCCTGCCTCTAGGCCCGAGGCGCGTGCCCGCGCGGGGATGCGCGGGCGCCTCGGGCAGGATCCAGGAAAGGAGCAGCGCAAGAGGACAGGGGAGCAGAGGTGGATAGTAGGTGCGAGGAAAAACAGCGACGGATGATCAGGAGTACGACTAGGATGAGCAGGAGAAGGAGGATGAGGGCTAGGCTACGTACGCGTTGCATATCACATGGCCTTCGGAACAACCCGCCACCGATCTTGGTTCGGGAATATCATGGGGGCCTGAGTTGTTTTATTGGGCCCTATTGAGCCTCTTGGAAGGCTCTTCGGGGCATGGGGGCAAGGGTGGGGGCCCTTAGGCCCTTGGGCTCTTGGAGGTTTCTTGGGTCCTCGTGATGCATCTTGTTGTGCATCTGTGTTTCGAAAGCCGAATCGGGAGCTCGCGGCACGTGGTCTCGTGGCCTCTTTGGATAGCTGATGGGGTCAGTCGCAATTTGCCGCCGCGGTGAGCGCCCAGATGCTTAGAGGCGCCCGTGGGGATCTCGAGCGCTGCCCCCCCACGGGCCTCGTTTTTGCTCAAAACTGACGATAGCCCGATTCCCACTCGTGCAGCAGGCACGCCGCGCCCGAGCCCCATTTCAGCTGGCGTCTCCTCGCCCAAGCGCCCGGAGACATGCTGAGACACTGACGCAGCCGTGCCCGAGGCCCCGGACGCCGCCGCGCCGCGGCAGACACGAGAGAGGCCACGGCTCCGCCGCGCCTTCCATCCCGCCTGGAAGACTGGAGCGCTGACTCTACAGGAGAGGGATGGCTGGGCGAGGAGCTGCTGCGCCAGCGGCCAGGAGAGAAGCGAGGAGGCAGGAGGAGGAGGATGGAGACCACAATGGTGCGAGAAGCTCAAGGGCACGGGAGTCAGCCCACTAAGGCAAAAGGAGGCCTCGGGGTGCTTCACGACAGCAGACGGGCAGAGTCCCCGCATTCCCCGCGCGATGGGTGGAGGCCATACCGGGTGAGACAGCGCCGGGCCATTCGATCGCAAGAGCAGCCAATAACTGCAACTGCTGCACAACGTGCCAGCGACACTGAAAACTGCCACACTGGTTACCTGCGGCGCCGCTGGTGGGCGCCGTCGGTCGTGTACACCACCCTGCGCGAATCAAAAAATCGTCGCCAGACTATGGTTGTACTATTTGTGAACAGTCCTCCTGTAGAGGGACATGCCCAACTTAACGCTACCGTAAAATTCCCAACCATATGTGTTTCGCCCCAGAGCCCCCCCCGAAAGCGCCTTGATCGCCGAACCATCACGTGAAGCCAACTTCGCTCGAGGATGCACGAAGATTGAAGCCGACACGGTCTCACACCCTTGCAGGTGCTGTCGGGCCATGCTGCTGCAGCAGCTTCTGCAGCATATCCTCGATCGCGTCCATGCGCTTCTGCTGCGCCATCTGCTTCTGCAGCATATCCTCGATCGCGTCCTGGCGGGCGATCACCTTGTCGACAGAGGCCGCCAATGCCAAGTCGGCGGTGCTATTCTTGGGTGTTGAATCCTCGACTTCATCTCGAACTCGAACTCCCCAATCCTTCATAGACTTCGCCACCTCCTTGTACTCGTTGTCCTTTTTCCTTCTGAATGCATCGCCATACCAAATGGCCATGATGCGGTCCACTTCCTCGATCCAATCACTCATGGACTCGCCCAGGTGATCAGTATAGCGCTCACCCACAATGGCGATGAACACGTTCGCCAACGTTCCAGTGATCACAAACGTCAAGATCCAGAAGATGAGGTAGCCCCAGATCGATGTTGATGTCGCCACGTACTCTTTCGACTGAATCTCCGCGAAATCCCAATCACCCCAAACGAAGCGGTACATGGCGAACAGGGAGTCTTGAAGAGTCGCGAACCCCTTCTGCTCGGCGCCGAACACGGTGTTGACAGTCAGCGCGCACCCGATGATGCAGAAGAACAGGAAAGCGAAGAACTGCATCACCTTCCCGTCGACCAGCGTCTGTCCGATGGCTTGCATCTGTGGACCCAGCTCGGGGAACAATCGGAGAATTCTGATCAAGTTGAAGGTCTGTAGGAAGAATGTGAAACCGAAGAGCTTCTGTAAGTGGATGGAGTAGTACGCAATGTCTATGAGATTATTCTCATCTGTCGTGTCCACATACACGTTGTCTGAAGCAGGTTGCAGGTCAAGACTGGCTTGCTTCACGGTCACGGTGATCATCAGAGCGATGATTAGAACGTGGATGAAATCCCGCAGAATGTCGAACATCTCTGCGCGGTTGCTGACGTATGCTTTCCAATCGGAGGTCATCTGGTAGATCTCGACGCCCACGTTGATGATGGAATACCCTACGAGAGCGACGCAGAGAATGACCGGGTACAGCCAAGACATTATGTCGTTGATGGGCATCCACAGGAATATCCTTGTCTTTTGAACTGGGATGACCGTTCCGCTTGGCCTGAACTCCACCTCGAGCTCGCTGGCGAGTACCCTCTGTAGCTCTTTGTTGAAGATGGCGTAGCTCACCCTGATGCCCGCGCCCTGGTTCCAGGCGGCCTGGTCGATGGAGTCCAGGGCGGCCTGAGCCGCGGCGGCGTCGTTCCTAGGGAGCTTCACGTTGCTGCCGTACTCCCCCCTGTCGACGACGCACGTGTCCGAGTCCGACCCGAGGCCTTCGAACACCCTGGGGATCCTCATGAGGAGGGTGTCGCAGTCACCGTAGACCCAGGGCGCCATCTGGATCACGGGGCTGCCTATCAAGAAAGACGAAGACCCGACCTCGCCTGGCCCAAGGCCGGGAAAGATGAATCCGAACAGAGTGCCATTTATGAACGTCCACACGTCTTCTGGCGTCGACAGGTCGTAGAACGTCGTCGCGAACTTCTCGGTTTCCCAAGGAACCTCCGATTCTACAACGTTTTTCTCGAAGTTCCAATCGAACATCCATGATGTCGCATGCTGCGTCAGCGCTGGAGACATTCTCGTGTTCGACAGCCATCCACCAACAAATACTGTCTGTGCAATGAGGAAAAGCATACCCATGATGACGACCCACAACGTCATCTTCTTCAACAAGTACCGGATCAAGAATAATCTTCTGTAGGTAACCCCGTCACCGCGACGGATCGCATGCATGATCTCCTTCGACGTCTCATCTGGCGCCGCCTTTCTTCCCCGCTTCCGCTTCTTCCTCTGGATCGAAGACTGCTGGCTCAAAACTCGCTCAAATATCCGTAGCTTTCTCTCGATATCCAAGCCTTCATTCACGCCTCTCATGACGACGTTCATCTGTAGCAGAACAAGGTGGTAGGCACTGCATGGCCAACAGATCTCCTTCCCGGACGGCTCATTGCGAAAGACCCAATAGAGGAAACGTGCGATCTTGGACGCACCCCAGCCAGCCTCGTTGTCGACGTGGGACGGCTTCTTGTCTTCTCTATTGAAACTCGAAGTGATGCTCAACTTCGTCAAGCTACTGTGCTTCTCGGTTGCCGCAACCAGAGCCTTCACTGTCTGAATGTTACCATGCTTCACCGCCAGCTCCAGAGGGCTAAAACGGCATCGGTCCCGCTTCTTCAGCAGGTTGTCGTTACCACCTTGGCAGTAGAGGTCCACGAGGATCCTCGTCAGCTGCGGGTGGTTGTTCTGTGCAGCCCAGTGCAGGGGAAGCCTCCCTTGGTCGTCGCAGTCCGTCGCCAGGAGCGCGTAGTCCATGGTGATGAGGTCCTCCGCCCAGTTGATCTGCACCGCGGCGTTGAAGGACTGCTGGCCCTGCTGCCCCTTCGGCCCCCCGGCACTCCACTCAGGCGTCGCGAGGTCGTGCCAGACGGTGCGCTTCCTGTGCTTCGTGCCGAACACGTTCTGATCGTAGCCGTCCACGAACCTGGCCGCATGCCGCAAGGCCTGCACCACCTGCCACATGCCCCGCGAGGCCGCAGCTCGCAGGGGCACCAGGAGGGTCGCGTCCGAGGGGTCGTTGATCCCGATGTAGTCGGGCTCGCGGTCGAATTTCTGCTGGCCGTCGGTGCTGCACAGCGAGGAGTACAGCTGCGTCACGTCCTGCTGGTCCTGCCGGAACTCGGACTTCACCGCGCTGTTCCGCCTCACGACGAGGCAGGCGATCTCGGAGCACTCCGCCTCGATGGCCTCCTGCAGCACGGTCTTCCCGTCCTCCTTGGCTCGGACCTGCCATGCGTCCACCTTCTCGCGCACGCTCGCGTGGTGGATCACTTTCTCGTCACTCGTTGCTGCCAGGACGGCAGTACACACAGGCAGCTGCACCAATCTGGATTCGCAGAAACCCTCTTTAGCAGTCGGGCCCAGCATCAGCTCGACGACTTTCGTGCGCCACTCGCGGAGATCTTGTGGCCAATCCGTGTCCTCATTACATATCCTCACGATGCCATGTATGGCGCTGATGGCGTCCCGCGTGTCCACGAAAGGTCGCACCCGCTTGCCATCCTCGCCCTGACGAGGCGGCTCGTTCCGCTGCTTGATCAAGAATTCGATCAGCTGGAACCGCGACGCCGACACCACCATGTAGTCTTTCACCGCCTCCACCCTCTTCGTGGGGTCGTTTCCCGCCATGCCGTCGGTCAGCAGGAACGTCAGCGGCCTCTCGAAGAGCTTGCCCACCCGCAGCTTCGAGCCCTCGCTCCTGTCGATCTTGACAAGGCGCACGTCGAGGCTGGCCAGGTCCATGCAGTTCTTGCAACCCACAAAGATGAACTTGCAGAGGTCTTCGACCTCGAGGTCCTGCCCACGGAAGACCAGGCTCTGCAGCGCGGCCCTGCAGCCCCTCAGGAGGTCGCACGCCTCGAAGCCCCGCGTGAACGACGAGCGCGAGCCGAGGTCCAGCGACTTGAGGGACTTCCTGCTGGCGCTCCCAGAGTTCAGGAACCTCGCAACCTCCTCGCCCGTTTCATTGTCGAGCTTGTTGTCGCCGATCTTGAGCGTCTCCAGCTGGCAAGGCGCCGTTATCAGGGTCGCCACAATCTCCCTCAGGCCCTCGGGCGGGATCTCGGCAGAGGTCACGTCCAGGTGGGTCAGCCGGGGGTAGATGCTCACCAGATTCGCGATGGCCGAGGCGCCGTCCGTACCGACGTTGTTGAAGCTCAGGTTGAGGTACGACAGCTTGTGGCTAAGCGTGATGCAGGAGGTGAGCGCGAAGATGCCCTTGGGCGACATGGTGGTGTTCCGCAGGTCCAGCGCGCGCAACTCGCGGTTGTAGCCCAGCTCGGTGGCCAGCTCGACCGCGCCGGTGTCGTCGAGGTTGTTGTCCCCGAGCCGGATGTCCCTGACCTGTGCACTGCCCGTGAGCCCGGGCAGTAGTCCGCGGAGGTCCTGGTAGCTCATCTCGTTGCCCTGGAGCGAGAGCGTCCTGACCGACAGGAGCAGGTCTTGGACGAGCATCTCGTCCTCCTTTTTCTTGTCGGACACGTGACGCATCGCCTTTCCCAGCTCGTTGCCACTAAGATCGAGCTCATTCACTCTGAAGCCGTCTGGTGGCGTCGGGTCCAAGGCCCCAATCACTGACCCGAGGCCCGTCGAATGAGTATTCAGCGCGTCATCACTTTGAAGTTTGCACTGGCCGAGAACCACCTTCGTTAGCGGGATCTTCGGGTCCTTCATGAGCTCTGCCACTGCGCGGAGGACCCGGTCCTGGCTCACCCTGTCCAGGCCCAGCTGTGGGTTTCGACTCAGGTCGATGGAGTGTATCTTGTCTTTGCGCTCCAGTAGGATGTCCAGCAGCTTTGCGATTGCAGCAGCCATGGCGTCTCGTTGAGTCTCAGCCTGCAGAAAGCCAGACAGATTCAAGTGGACGCCTTTCTTCAATGCCTCTTCGTGCTTCTCCACCCACTTCCTCAACTCCCCCGCAGAATCACCAGTAGCCCTCTCACTGTCTGCGACGGCCGCACCGCCGGCTCCCGTTCCAGACGCTGCCTGCTCCTTCCACAGGTCCATGTCGTGGACACTCGGCTGCAGCGTAGCAGCGCCCTCGCCGTCCGGGCCTGGTCGCACGGTGTCCTCGCCGCCGTCCACGGAGGTCACAGAGCCGGAGCGGACCCTCTGCGGCATGGTGGCCCTGAAGGTGCCTGCCTCGCCCGCCTTAAGCGCCCGCACTGGCTTGAAAGGCTGCTGGCAGCCAGCCCACGGCGTGACCAGACTGCTCCCTGATTCATTCCCGTACCAGAAATTCGGGCCAAGGTTGATCTGAATCTCGAGCCCTTCATGCATGGAAATCGCTGGCACGAGGCCGGGCTCTGAATACACAGACAAGTCGACCGGGTCGGGCTCATCAGTAGTAAAGAGCTCGCCATTCAGGGTCCAGTACATCTTCGCCTGGCTATCTGTGATGGAGCACGCGACGCCGACGACCATTCTCTCCTCCCACTTGGGCAGCGCGTGATCCAGCTTCGGTCCAAACCGCTTGCCGCAGAATTTAATGAAACCAGGCTTCCCAGGATTGCCGCCTTCGTAGCCCCACGAGAACCTGTCGTCGCCGACGCCTTTCAAAAGGTGGTCTCCCAAGAACGCGGGGGTGCTCCACCCAATGGATCCCGCGCCTCCCTTTTTCGCCTTGGTCTCGTCGTCGACGTCCTGGCCCGTGCGGAGGGCCGAGTAGAGATCCTTAGGCGAGCGAGCGAAGTTGTAGCATATCTTCACCTCGTAGTAGTAGCGGCCCTGGAAGCAGGGCCTCGTTCCAGTAAGGACAGGCCTGTGCTGGAGCGCCTTGGCTTGAAAGCCTTTGTGGGTGACCAGTGGAGCCACGGCGTTTGGCGCCAGCGCCAGTTTGTCCGACTCCTCTCGAGGCGACCCCGATACACCTGATGCCTCCGATGAAGCCTCCAAAGGTCTTCGGAGATCGGGCCTTCGGAGCTCACCCTGCTCGGTTTTGTCGGCGTCGTCCTCGGCAATCGTGCCCACCCCGGCTCCCGTGTCCTGCTTGGGCTGGTCAGAAACGATTGCCTTCGGCTCGAAGCCCGTCAGGGGGAACTCGGGGCCCTGCAGCCACGCGCACCACTGCCCAGCCGAGGCCCTCAGGATCTCGTCCGAGGCCCCCGTGGAAGGACGAGCATGCCCTGGCGCTCGGGCATCGGCGAGAACCGTGCGTAGGGCGAGCGGATCCGCTGGTTTCGTCTCGAGCAGACGCTGCGCCTTGTTCACGTACTCCTGCACCGGGCGCGCGCCGGTTGGGATGTGTTCCGGCGGAGGGCTCAAATTGATGTGTATCTTTTTGTTTCCGAAGCCGAATCCGATGACGGGCCGCAGGCCACCCTGGAAGGGGACCTTCACGAACGCCAGGCCCACCTTTGGCTTCACCTCGGCGATGCCGCGGTAGTGAATGGCTATGGTAGCGTTGTCGATGTCGGCCTCGAAGCCGTAGATATCACCCTGCTTGGCCTTGCAGTCGTTCCATTCCATGTGGAGGAAGCAGGCCGGCTTCCCGTCGCCAGCGAGTTTTGCATCGGCCACGTCCATTCCCCAGCTGCCAGGCACCTCGCCCACACCGAAGTTCCCATAACATCGCGCGTCTGCGTAGCCTGCTGTCAGCTTGAAAAAATCACCTGGCGCCTCACTGATTTCGACCTCGTAGTACCACCTCCCCGTGGTAAGCAGCATGCCGTGAAGATATATAGGCTCCGGAACACAACCCCTCCGAGCTAACTTCGTGTCAAGCCGGGCGGAATACAAGCCCCCTGACTCCTCCTGGACGACACAAATTAAGCCCTGATTCTTCAGATCGGCGCCCAACAGCATCTTGCCAAGCTTGTCGCTACCTTCCTTCAGGTCACTCTTTCGCACCTTACCATCAATATCAAGGTTCGCGAGTTGGCTCACCGTCAACACACTGGAATCAAGACTCGGCGGTCTGTATCGCAGCTTCTCGTTGCCCCAGTTGACGTACAACTTTGCCCCGTATTCAACAGTGAAGACCGGGACCACGACACCATCCCCAGCGAGAGGGATGTTGCTGAACTCTGCCTTCTGCAACTCCTCTCCGTTGAGGAAGAAGCGGAGAACTGCTCTTTGCTCATTCTGAAGATCAATCAGAACTCCCACTACAGTACCAGGAGACCAAGCGGGAGAGCCGAAGCTGTCGGAGTGCCTGTCGTGCAGCCACGCAGGCGTACGCCCAAGACCTCCCACGCCCCAAGAGTGCGCGTCCTCGCCAACGCGCTGCACGTCCTCGCTCTGGGCAAACTGGGCTGTCGCGATGCCCACCGAGCACGTGGAGCCGGGGGGTGCTTCCATCACGGTCACCTCGAAGAAGACTGCAACTCGGTCCTTCTGCCGCACCGTGATGCCGGACGGGGCCACCGTGGCGACACCCCCCACGGCGCACGAGATCACGCGCCCGCCGATGAAGTACGCGGATGCACCACAGACGACCTGGAGCTCCCCTGGGTTCAAGTCCTCGCGGCCCGTGGAGATCAGTGCGCCCAAGCCGCGCCGAGCCCTTGTCGCGATGACCTTGTGACCCAACAGCTTGATGGATGTTCCGTCCCCATCGTCCCTCTCGAAACCCGTCGCCGTCTTCATGCCACTGCTCTGGCCCTTGCTCTGGTCGCCGAGCATCTGCTTGACACGGTCCTTCGACAGTTCCTTCAGGGACAGGGCTTGGAGGAACTCGCGCAAGTCGAGCTGCTTGTCTTTGCTGGCGTCGAAGTGGTCGAACAGCCTGTTCAGCTGCGTCTTGTCCAGGGTGCTGTCGGCGAACGCCTCCTTGAATTCCTTCCTGTCGATGAAGTGGTCGCCATTGGTGTCAAGATCCTTGAAGGCGGCATCGATGCCAGGGTATTTCTCGTCGAGGTACTTCCGGAGCGCCTTCATACCCTGCCGAACTGACTCCAACTTTCTCGGGTCTTCGATCTTGACGGCCTGCTCCAGCACCGTCTGCTTGATATCCTTGCGGTCGCGCCGACGAGCCTGGCGGACAGCCTGCAGCCACCGTTTCCTCTCCTCCTCGTCCGGAATGGGCTTCAACACGGTGACCAGGGTCAGCAGCTCCTGTTCGTCGTAGTCGACTTCCCAGTTGAAGAACCTGGAGAAGACCAGCGGCGCGGCCGCCCTTAGGGGCGCCTTGCCCTCGCGGAGCGGGTCCCTCACCTCTGGCTTGATGACCAGCTCCTTGTCATCCACCGGCTTCGTGAGCCACTCCCCGCGGGCGGTCACGATGCCCATCGAGCCCGCTGGGCTGCCGCCGTTGAGCATCCACGTGCGCAGCGTCTCTGCCTCGGCCATGTTCAGGATAGCCCAGCACCCGTCTTTCCCGTTCTTCACGTACAGGAGCAGGACGGCATTCGGCAAGCGACGCTTGCGCGCGCCGTCGGTCGCCTCCTGCTTGAGCTTCTTTTCGGCGTAGTTCGAGCTGAGATAAACGTTCACGTCAAATTTCAGGGCCTTAACAATATGGTCATCGATCTGGCCACCCTGGGGCACGAAGTCCTTCATGCTATGGAACGTGCTTGCGTCCTTGAAGAGCTTTTTCCTCCCCGCGTCATTGACAAGGTCTGACACCTGCCACTGAACGGTGTCCCCGAAATCGGCGAACGTGCGATCATCAGGTTCATCACCTGGACCCTTGTCAACTAGATGTTCTTGCTCCTGCTCCTGCTCCTGGCACATCTCCGAATCCAGGCCCCGCTCCCCATCAGCGCTGACCTCGCTGGCGTCAACCTGAGGCGTCGCCTCTCTGATCAAGTCTGCGACGGCCTCATTCATGCTCTTCGTGTTTGGAATCAGCACCTGGTGCTCGTCCTTGAGGGCGGTCAACTCGTTGAGCAGCGTCTTGGCCTCTAGCACTGTCCCCGTCGAAACCTGCAGCGACGACATCTCCTCGCAGAACACCCCCACGTTGGCTCGGATGCGGAGATGCGATGAGCCAGGGTTTGCCTCGAGAAGTTTGATTGCCTTGACTTACAGTGCATGAAGCCCGCTACATATGCGAAACCACAAAACGTTGATAATACTCCAAAAGTGTTCCCATAATACACTTTGGACACTTGTGTTAAAATACTCCACAAATTCTTTGGGAAGTATCAAAAAATCCTTCTGTAAAACTAAATGTTATGATCGATGCCCCAGGGCCGCATCTATTCATGACAGCGGTACACGGCATAGCACGGCCTAGCATAGAACAGCACAGCATGATAAGGTGACCGCGCCAACACCACATAACACAACATCATACCCCGCTGTCTCTATCAGAAACATAACATAACACACGTACAATCTTGTGACGTATGATAAACGCTGGTTGTTTAAATGAAAGAACAGGTGATTGCGGCAATGTGAACAACGTGTTTGACCAGAAGAAGAACGAAACATTGTGCGCGTATCCTAAGACTGTTGGATCACCTACGCGATATCGAGCTTAAGATGGGGGTGGCGGGCGGCGGGGGAAACCGTGAATATGTTAATTCGCGTTTCCTTATACCCGTGGCGGCCCCTGGTCCCTGGTCCTTGTCATACTCCTACCCATTCCTTCCCATGGCTGGCCTGTCATAATCAGATTCCTGCTCCGTCCTACGTCTACCCGAAACGCCCCCTTTCTTTCCTGGCCCGACTCTGATGTATTGAGGCCAAGGTTGCCTTTAGATCCATGTCCAACGGGGCCGCGCGCGGCGGGGGGAGCGAAAGCCCTGCTCCTAGCCAGCCTACATATATAAGCTAAGTCGGCAGATGCCTCGATACTCCGAGGGGCCGCGCGCGGCGGCGAGGGCGAGAGCCCTACTCCCTAACTCCAACGGGGCCGCGCGCGGCGGAGGAACGGGGCGACAGCCCGCAGCACCGCGGATCACGGCGGTTGCGGCGAAAGCCATAACCAAAACATGAGCCGCCGATTGCTCCAGACTTGCCCACGTTCAAATTCGTTCGCGCTTGTTTTGCTCACGGTCCGACTCACTCGCACCCAGACCCACTCGCGCTAGGACCCACTTGCACTCCGACCCACCCACACTCCGACCCAACCATATGCAGGCACCTCACCACCACACGGCTCGCACTCAGACCCGCGCACTGGATTCACGCTCAGACACACCCCGAGAGGAAGCCGCCAGGGAGGGGGGGTCACTCGCCCGTTCGAGGGCGTATCGAGCGAGGCGCCCATTTGATTTAAGTGGCCGCGTCTGCATTGAAAGCATGCCGTTGGGACCTGAACGAGAGGAGAAGCACGAGTGTGCGAATGACGGCCGCCAGGGAGCGGCTGCGTAGAGGTATGAACCCGCCAGCCCATTGGGCGACAGGCAGTCTAACGATGTTCCTTTTTCCTATTCCACAACCCCTTCTTCCCCTTGGGTAAGGGGTTTACTCCTCCCCCTACCCCCTCCCCTGGACCTGGACGGAGGTCCCCTCGAGGGGCTGGAGCGCCCAAGATGGTCCAAGATGGCTCTAAGAGGGCCTCCGATGCTCCAAGATTGCCCAAGATGGCTCAATACAGTGCAAGGTCGATCAAGATGAGCTACATCATGCTTCCAAGATGCCTCACGAGGGCCACAAGACGGCTGCAGGTGCTCTTGGAGACCCCTCGGGACCTCTCCGGAATGCCGAAACCTATCAACAACATAAACCAAATAATGAGTTTTGCTTTCTCGCAGTTTCTCTTCCGATGCGGTTATGATGCCTCAAGATGGCGCCAAGATGGCCAAATAATGCCCTGAGAAAGGCACAAGAAGCCCCCAAGACGGCCCCAAGAGCGCCCAAGAGCGCCCCAAGAGAGACCCAAGAGCGCCCCAAGAGGCTATCTCGATGGCCCCAGATGGGGGGGGACACCACGGGAGGACCGCCCCCCCCCCCCCCCCCTCCCCCTCATTTCACCCACGCACTCCACGGCGGCCCCAAGAGACCCTCCAGGGCTCCCAAGAAGCCCCCAAGAGAGCCCCAAGATGGCCTCAAGCGGGCCCCAATACCCCACCCAAAAAAAAGCATCGATTGGGCCCCAAGACAATCCAAAAGAGCTCAGAGAGGACTCCAACACCCTGACCACCCTCCTCTCCTTGCCAACTTTGGTTCGCTATGTGTGCCCCTTCTTGCCATTTCCGTCAGCTCATGGGCAGGGCTTCTGAATGGGCTGGCGGGGTTATTTCTTGATTCGCGGCCCGCAAAGAAAAGTCCAGAGGGCGGTAAGAACGAGGCTGGGACAGCAGCGCACGGGAAGTCGATAATTAACGGCGCAGCACTGAGCCGGCCGAGAAGCAGCTGAACGTGTGCCAGCAGCAAAAGACATGCCGAGCTCCTGCCAGCGATAAGGCCACAAACCATCCGCTGAACGTGTGCCAGCGAGGGGGAGGGAAAAAAGGAGCCGGACCCGCGGGTGGAGCCGGACTGCCAGGAGAACAGAGCCACACCACTCACTCACTTGGAACGACGGTCCGCCGCACGCAACTGAGGGGAGTCAGGCCGCAGCCCCAAAAAAATCGACCACCATGGAAGCGACCGCGAGAACCCTGGTACCAGGGCGGTGTGCGGCTGTGCATTTCGAAGGCACTCCTGTGTCTGCGGCCGACGTCTCGCACGAGCGCCCAATGGTGCCTGACCGACAACCTTATCTGCCAAAGCCGCCAAAGCTGACCGAACTGTCAACACGCCGGAGCAAAGGGGGAGCGAAAGCCGTCGTCACGTACCGACGACGGGGGAGCCACTGCATGATGCCGACTCCAAAGTTAGACCCAGACATGGCCGAGGCCAGCGCCCGGTGTGTCCCGGCCCGCGCACGCCGCGGGCAAACGGAATGTAGAAAGCCCAGGGAGGGCGAGGCGCCTCGAGCGAGCCGTCTCGGAAGAACGCGGGCCGACGCAGCGGCAAAACGACGACGGGGTTATTTCAGCCGGCCGAAAGTGCTAAAGGCCCACGCGAACGTAGGAACTAACTCGGTGGTGGGGGTTACCTCAGCCCCAAGAGGTAACAGCAGTCCGCCCCATTGGTCCACTGCATCGGTGAAACAAGACCTGTCGCAATCAGTCGACGGGAGCGGTAGCCAGGAAGTGACCCGAAGGCCCAGGGGCTCACAGCAACTCATCCTTCTGGAAGTTGCACCCTGTGGCGACGAGAAGGGGGGCAAGCAGCCGATAGCCGCGAACAGAATTAAGAGATGGGGAGCAAGCAGACGACCGCCGCGGAGGGCAGCACGTGGCGACGAGGAAAGGGGGAGCGCAGCCGATAGCCGCGGAACTGGAGAAAGCGACGGAAGGTAAGGTGAGCGCCCTCGCAAGGCTTCGTCTGAGGTGGGAGCGCCCTAGTGGGGTCCCACGGTATCGTGCTAGGCGGTTCCTTCACTGGGGGAGTTCACGCGTTGTCCCGGCGACCTGACGCCGTACGTCATGGCGTCTTTTGTAGAGCCGACGTCGCCCCTAGTCGGGGGACTCCTGCCAGGCCCTTTGTCGGTCTACCAGCGCGCGAGCTCCCATCCTCGCTGCCGTTCGTCGGCGTATTGCTCGTCACTTTTTGGGGCGGTCCTCTTCTCCCTGTTCCCCCACGAAGTCCCCCTCCAGGAGCTACCGTGATGGCCCCACCCTTCCCACCGCGGCCTTGGGCGCCATGGGGCCCCAGAGCTGGATGCACCCGACCAAGAATTCTCCCTGTCGGTGTGCGCCGGCGGGGCGGCTGAGCCGTCTCTGGGTCTGCTCCATGGGCGCTGCGGCCCAGTCCCACTGCACGTGCTGGAGGGCCGGGTCTGCTCGTGGTGACTTGCCCTGTCGGGTGGGGCAGGGGGGGTGGGTACCGTCCTTCGGTCGGCCCAAGGGTGTGGGTTGCCCTTGCTGTCTTGCCCCTTGGTTGCGTTGGCCTTTGCGCTGCGATGTAGTAGGCTACGATATTTGTCAGCGATCTTTGAACTGGCCAATCAACACGGAGATGGTGGTGTTTCACCAACTTGTAGGCGTCGTAACCCGCGGTTTCCCACGCCTGCAGGAATTCTTCGCACCCCTCCCTTGTGTTCCTCCTGGGGTCCGCATGGATGTCGTTCCGCGCTAGACCCAGTAGGCGACCCGCCCTGCGTGCCCATCCTATCCAAGCCCCGTTGAAAGTGCCTCCGAGTTCCCTCTGCAGTCTCATGACTTTCTCTTGGCCTGTCTCGTCCCTCTGGATGTCGGCCTCTTCGATGGGCTTCAAATACATGGGGAGCCCCCCTAGGGGGTCGTTCCGATGCGGTGGTGGGAGTGGCTCAGCCTGTGGGCGCGGCCGTCTCTCTGGGCTGCTGTCCTGCCGGGGGCTGAGCGCCCGCCGGGTCTCGTGCGCCGGGGCTGTTAGCTCCTGGATAGACTCCTGATTGCGGTCTGGCCTGCCCCCTTTCCCTCGAGGTTTCCTTTGATCAGCCCTTCTGTCGCGGATTAGCTCTATGTCCTCTTTGAAGCGGGCCGTGGCATAGGGCGCCCAATTGACAGCTTCCTCTTTCTCTGGGGGGACTGACCACAGCACTGTCCGTATGATGGGGACGTCTCTGCCACTGGGGCCGCTGATTTCGGCTTCTTCGTCCTGCTGCGGGGGGCTATGGGTCATGGCGGCTGTTCTCTCTGGATGATCCTCATCCCAGTCTACCCCGAACGGGTTGTCCCGTTATCGTGGGAGTCCCTATCCGAGGTCGGTTCCTCCTTCATCTCCTTCGCTGCTTCCGTGGCCCCTGGGGGCTGCTGGCTGAGGTCATCACAGTCGGCGTGGCTGTCCGAGGCTGGAGGGCGCTTGTGCCAGGCGGCGGCGGGGGAGTGATCCCTAGCTTCGTTGCCGCTCCGGGCGCTGTGTTCGCCAGCGAGGAATTCCAGCGCCCCCCCTGCGAAATCGTCCTTCCTGAGGGATAAGAAGCGGTGCAGCGTTTCCATCGGCTGTAGCCGCGGGTCTTG